ACACACACACACACACACACACACCGTCCCAAGCAATAAACACACTCTCTGCTGCCTCCTGAAGGACTGGAGCGGATCTACATCTCTAAACCATGCAGCGGTCAATTTATGATTGTTATTTCAAATGATGAAAACTTTCATGTCTTGCTGACTATCAGATATTTCATATTTTAAATGTGAATTAAAACGGAAACATTTATTTAAAAAAAATGGAAGTTTGAGCATTCATTCAATAAATAAAAAAGTTTGTATAGCCTATATACGTTTTGTATCGTATCATATTTGATTCATCAGGCTTTTATGGCTCATATAGGCAAGTAAGAATATGGGGCCCACACTTCTGGAGGGAAAAAAAAAAAAAAAAAAAAAACTTTAATTTTATTCAGAAGCCCAAACAACTGAAAAATAGGCAATTTGGTGTAGCGGATGTTAATTTTACAGTGCCAAAAAGTAGGCTAGTCAACGTTAAGGCGTTAAAGTGTGCAATTAATTCAAAATCCCTAACATGGTGAAATAATTGAATTTATTCGTTGTATGGAACAGCTGTGTGGTGTTGCATTTTTGTGTAATACACAACAATTTAAACTTATTTTGGGGGAACGATTTCTGGGAAACAATCTCCATAATAAATGCATCCAATCCTTGTTTAAAAATAATAAAAAATTAGAATTTTATTTGAAAAGCCAACCTATGAAGTTCACATGGCAATTACAAAATCCTCTGCATAAAGATCATGAAAAGCATTTACAAAAATACACAATCCAATCTCACTTATATCAACTTAAATACACAAAAATAAATAGCGATTTTTCTCTAGCCATTCTTAAATAGGGCAAATATCAGCTAGCAAAAACAAAGAAAAACAAGCACAAAACTGAAGAACTTTTTAACATTTACATTTAGTCTAAAATACATTCTTCACTGGTTTGCTAATAGTTCAGCAATTTGTCAATGCATTTTTTGCTGGTGACAATTCTGCCAGATAGGGTGGTATAATAATAATAATAAACATCAACAAAGAAAGATAAGCATTACCCTGATGACTGACAATAGCGGAAACAGTGTGATGTTTCAGAAGAGTGCAAGTGCTGAATCTGGCCCTGAGGCCTAACAGTACATGTACTAGCATGCAATCCTTTATCAGACGTCCTCAGGTCATCTCAGGCCCAACTGTGTAACTCATGGCACATTATTTCTCAAGAGCTCAATTCCTTTTTTTTTTCTCTGTGCATGAGTGACCGACTGTAAGGAGGTTACAATATCTTAAGCGCTTGCAAGTCATTCATCAACAAGCTTCCCGTGAACCCGGAAACGGTACACACAGGTGTATTCAGGATGACCCCAGTTAGACAGCACTCTCATCTCAATGATCTGAAAACCTCTCGAGACCTCCTCCTTGGGGAAGACAGACACACAGAATTACAAGATTAGGCAATCGATTAAAGATTACAAACAAATCAGGTTTTGCTGTTTAGCATGACCCCGTTAGCTACTGCTGGTAGATGACGCAACTACACCTTCCACATTGACAATCCTCCTTCTCCTTTTCAAATATTTTGCTGTATTAACTTTTTTATACATTTTGCTAGCAACATAAAGTTACAAGAAGCCATCAGCCAATCGGTTAAATTTTTTTATGCAGCTACAGTGTGGTTTAATGAATGAAACGGATCTCAATACACAGAAAAACATGTTTGTGTGATACTTACAGACACTAAGAAGGTCTGAAGAGCATCTCCATCTTCATTATAAACAAACTGTCCGAGTAACTGCCCCTCTTCCTCCTGCTCATCATCAAGACCCTTTCATAAAACAGAGAGGAGAGGGGAAAAAAAAAAGAAAAAAAAAATGTAATTGACCCCAAGTTAAGAGAAGTCAACCTTAAACTTTCAACGTATTAGAAAACCTGGAAATATCAGGACATTTTTTAAATTGTGGCATCTAGGTTTGGAAAATAATGGATATTAATAAAATACTGAATGTGATCTGAATGTTCTGATTTCGAATATGAAAAGGAAGGAAAAGCTTAAAACTGATGGGAAACTTCTTCAGTGGATATACAGCTCCAGCCAAAAAGTTTGATATAATTAAGATTTTATGTTTTTGAAAGAAGTCTCTTATGCTCACCAAGGCTATATTTATTTTATCAAAAATACAGTAAAATAAATACAATCCAATTTAAATGTTAATATTTTAAAACAGAATTTATTCCTTTGATAACAAATCTGAATTTTCAGCATCTTAACTCCAGTGTCACATGATCCTTCAGAAATCATTGTAATATGCAGATTTGGTGCTAAAGAAACATTTCTTATTATCAATGTTGAGAACGGTTATTATTTTGCAAAAACGTACAAGATAAAAAAAAATACTACTTTTATTCAGCAAGGATGCATTGAATGGGATGTATAACTAGAATGATTTCTCAAGGATCATGAGACACTGAAACCAGGAGTAAACTGTTGCTGAAAACTCTGCTCTACAATATTTATAAAAATACAGTATTCAAAAAAATAATTATACTTCTTTATAATATATTCATTAGTCGAGATGTGGAAACCCTGATATTAATTGATTTTAATTTCATGTGTACTCACATATACATTGAACGCTCGTGGGGCGCTGCTGATGTTGCCAGTGGGCGACAGGGATTTGGGCGCATGATCTAGAGAAAAGGCTGTAGGCACAATCTTCATGGATAACCCGATCACCAGATAACCTTGTGATCCTTTAAATGCCCAGCAGTTCCCAGGATGCACGTCTGGCTGCAGGGACAAATGAATGAAGAGATTAAGAAAGGAGAGAAATTACCATTAAAGTCATGCTTGACTTTCCAAATAAATGCACATGAATAGAAATCAGAATTCTGAAAAGATATGAAACCTGTATGACTACACGTGGTGACTGGGAGAAGTACCACAGCGGGAAGCCAAACAGACTCAGCAGTGCTGTTTTGGTGTCAAAGGACTCTGAACAGCGTGTGCTTATGATGTTGCCTCCTACAGACACAAAGAAACCCATTCAAATTCACTGCAGATATCAAACAGCATAAATATATGCAAGACTGTTATTCATAATTCTATAGGATTGGGTGATTCGGTACTACCATCTTGATATTTTCAGACATGTGTTTTCCTCCCAATAAGATGAAAAACCATTTAAATCAATCAGCTATTGTAGCAAAGCAGACAACATTCAGACAAGTAAAATAAAAATAAAAAAACCCTCACAGAAAACGGTGCAAAACACTGGATTTAAATAAAAACATTTAGTTGATTTATGAGCCTTTTAAACTAGAGATGACACGAAAAATGCCCTCACTAGTCAGTTGTCGTAAGTGAGGACATTTGTACGGTGGCCGTGAAGTGCAAAACAAAATCACAATTCTGAAAACAAAATAAATTACAAACGCAAATGCAAGTCTAAAAAACAAAACAATTTCAGAAAGCACAACAACAATTCAGAAAACACAACAACAAATC